TTTCTGAGGTAGATCAGCTCTCTGCACAGAAATAAATTCACAATGTTTTATAGCCCTGTGTGCACCAAATCCCCATTCACAGTCAGCTTCTCTGCTGAGGTGATGACTTTCTCCCCATCACCTACAGAGTCACCTAGGTCATGAGGCTGGACATGAGGTTGGCTAATGGCGATGCAGATAGGCTTGAATTCTGAAAAAGTTCGAAGACTCTTTTGCAAGTCCTTATCAAGACAGATTTTCTCCAAAGACTTATATTACGAAAAAGCAATTAACACTGTACATTACATTTGCCTTGACACTGTATTTCCTGGTAATTAGATCCAAAACCACTTTGCTCTTTAGCCAACATCTTATAAGGACTAAACAAAACACCACTCAGTCATCCTGTCTCTCCCATGATTTCCATCTCATACACAAGCTCCTGATAATAAGTAATAAACACAGCAGCACACCTTAGGAAAAACAATTATCATTTTAAAAACCAAGCACATGAGCAACTCCCTGGATAGCTACCAAATGGTTGTTCCGCAAGGTACAGAAAACCCATCCTAAATCTGTGAAATAATCCTGTATTTGTTATCCAAATAAGCAGCAATGCACAATAACCCACGTTCCTCGCTCTTCCTGAGTTCCCCGAAGAAGTCACCGGAAAAAACGACAGATCGGTGAGCCTCGAGTTGCTGCTTCTCTGGAAATAGTCCAACCAAGGGCAACATGGCCCAAAATCACAGGGCAATAAGCACACCACATCGTGACTTGTCTTATCCACAAAGTAGGAAAGCAAAGCAGGTAAAAAAAAAAGATTTCCAGCCTTTGTCAGATCACGATAATCTTTCCATGTCATAAAACATGGTAATCTTCCCATGCTCTAACACTTTGGAAAGATAGCACTCCCACACAAGTATCTGCTAAATTTCGATGTCTTTGGGGTCATCAGTTCCATACAGAGGTCATGCTCATCTCACACACCAATCCTTCAGAAAAGGCTTTTACACCAAACATACATAATCTGCATTGGAATAGAAAAATTAAGCAAAGCTGAAAAATATACCACAGATGCTTGGTGACAAAGCTAGCATTAAGTTCCCAGATTAATTCTTCTACTAAGAAAATACATGCTATATATCAACTGAATTCTCACATCAAGACTGCTCAAGGCTATATTGAAAGAGGGAGAAAATAAAAGATTCTTTCCAATTGTAGAGTAAACCCAGCTATGCTAACAGAAGCTGCGTCTCCATTTCACATCCTACATCAAACTGGTATGAGGTAGAAAGCCATTTTACAACAGGGATTTCTCCCCTCCATCGTGACAAAATCCCCACCTATATTAAGTATTGTGTCTCGAGAAAGATGGATGGATTTCGCCTGAAGCACAGCATGCCACACCCCACTGACAAAAATATGCACTTTATCATTAGTAAAGCACAGGGGAGATTCTTACTCTTTTACAAAGAGTTGTTAGGTAGTCATTCATCTACAACTTAAGTTTTTTGTTAGATCTCTCTCATAGTTTAAGACCTTTAAACACGAGTGACAACAAGCTACAGAGATCTCTGCACAGGAGCAAATTAAGAATGCAATTTCTTTACAAAAGTACTAACTGTTGACGTCACTGGGATAGATCAAATAAAACATGTTTATATTCCAGGCATGGAAATAAACGAGAGTTCCTGCACAAGACAGCTCTCCAAACAGTACCTATATACTGTTAGCAGAAAGGCTAGACAACAAAATAAGAAACAAAGAAACCCAACACTGCTCAGACTCTACCCATCTCCTGCAAAGACAGAGACTCTCCATTTTTGCTTTATTTCTCTTCATGGAATAGAACCTTGCAGAACAGCAGCCCCTCCCCTCCCACTCTCTCATTTATTTCTTTTCCTTATACTATGCAAATAAAAGAAATTCCTGCAACAATGTCCTCCTGCGCCCCGCAGTTCCCTGCCCGTGTTCCCATGTACCCTCTTTGCCAGCAGTGCAGGCAGCGAGAGCACGGGCTGGGGACGTCCTGCCCTGCTCTGCCTGACACCAAGCGCGCAGCAGGGAATGGCAGCGCTCGGCACGCTCACTGCTCCCAAGCTCCACTTTAAGGCGCCCCCACGTTCCAGCTGAAAAAGCAAGCGACAACCCAGATGAAAAACCCTTTTATCCTCTTCCCGATAATAATAATCATCGAGTCGGGACCTGCCTAGAAAGATTAGGTTTAAATGCTCTTCTTGCTGAAGAATCAGTCTGCAGACAAACCTTTTACTGAACTGCATTGGAGGTGGTCGCTCTAGACTTGTCAGAGAAAGGAAATGAAAACCTGTCTCATTTAGAATTAAAATCTTCTATTTCTTTTTAATATTGGAAAAGCCTGGAAGCATTGTCCCCCCCATACAGCTAGATAGGAAGAAAAGCCTCCTCCTGCAAAGAATCTCCCAAGACAGGGAGCTCTTCAACCTTTCAGTGCTCAGGAATAAATGGCCTTGGAGCTATTCTGAAGAGGAAACTAGAGGCAAGAGAGGCAGTTTTCTGGCTTACAAGAGTCAGCAGCTCCACCCTCTCCGACAAGACTGTAATAAGTAAGTGCACAAGGAAAATGCATTTGTAGGTATGTCAGCCAAAGCAATCAATTAGAGAGTCACCTTGAGGCTGCAGAAAACCAAATAGATACAGAATGAACCTGCAGGCTCTCAGGATTGATGGGTAGCTCACTGAAGAAAATAAAATAAAATTGTATTTCTCATTTTTTCTTTTTTTTTTTTCCACTACATTTAAAGAGGAGGTACATTATAGAAGGCTTTTATATTTAAAATTTTGAAGCAGAATCAGAACGCACAGGGACTCGTGGAAGAGACTAGAAGGGAAGACAGGAATTAGCATACTGCCTTAGGACTCTTCTGACCCAGAGCTCCAAAGCACGTGACCGGGGGCTTTGTAGGGATGCCTATTTACTTGTGATAGAAAATATATCTCGGACAAAGTCAAATTTATGTTGTTAAGCTCCTGTTTTGGTGCTTATTTTCAAGAAACAGTAAGATCACTAAGTCTTGACCTTTATTTTTTTTTTGCTGGAAAATCTGCTCAAAACCTAGAAAAGCGTAGTGGGAGATGATGGTAGGAGGTCCAAGAAAAGCACTTTCCCCACGGTTCCTGGGTGGGAAGTAAATTACGACCTCTTTTTCTTGAAAGCTCAGAAAAAAATATAAATAAAATTTAAAAAATATTTCCTTTAAGCTCTTCATTTTTCTTTTGTGATGACAAATTCCTGCCTTTTTTTTCCCCATTTTTAACAGAAATTATGTTAAACAATTTTAAACATTTTCCTTTCCAATATTTTATGAAATAAAGCTGCATTGCAGTCTTCTCCCAAACAATCTAACAAAACACAAAGGTTCATTTCTGGTCTGCTTTACATAGCATCTATAAGAACTTTAAGTCCAAAACACTGCTTTTCTAGATGGGAGTTCCCTCTGGTAGCATCTTCCATCAAAACCTGGATCCTTCTCCCAACAATATTTGCTAGATCTAAGCAGTAATTCCAAGTGAGTCAATACCAAAAACCAATGCTGCTTTTGACTGATATACTGCAGTGGCAGCCTCTGTAGATTAAGTTGCACCAATGTCCACGAGCCCTGTACTCTGAATAAATATGACAATGAATAGTGAAGACCTTATTCCCAATTATATTTACAAAACTGCAAGTAGTTGCAAATGCCTCTGCGGCACCCCAAGTGTATTTTGTTTTGTTTAAAGAAACAACCAAGATGTGCATTTAGGCAAGAATCTGTATTTTGCCCTATGAATGGGAGGGAAAAAGCACACCCTAAGCTTCAGAACAGATTTTCAAGGCGACTCTTTTAAATCTTTATCCTAAAGAAACTAGCTGATATCTGCAAGATATTAATGGCTTTTTCAAGGCACCACAGTTACCGTTTTCCCCAGATGCTTAACAAACAACAATGCAGCTAAGCTACCTGCACACTCACTGAAGCAGGGGAAAAAAAGCAAGTATTCTAAACACTATCTTTTGGAGAAACGATATTGGTAAAGGGATATTCAACTGATGCAATTCAATCAGGTTTTCACATATCTGAGAGTTTATTTGTTGAAGAAGGAGAGATTCACTGCGACTTGATTTTTAAGCATCCAAGCAACTGTGACACAGTTACTCCTCCTTCGTTTCAGGCACCTGCATCCAAAATGACAGGCTGTATTGTGGATTGTGATTGATAACAGATGGGCGCGGATGACAAAAGCTGAAGGTTACTGCAAGTAAATGAAGGGTTTCCTATAAAGCCAAATTAGTTAAGTGAAAATAAAGAGAAATGAGTCACTTATGTCCAGAATTGACTCATTCTTTCCTCACTCATCTATGATCATTCAACAGCTTAAAGTTACTGCTAATTCTAAAGTTACTGCTAATTCACAGCTTTAATAAGAATCTTAACCAAACACATAAGCAACAGCACATTGTTAGCATTGCTAATTCTATGGGTTCTTTCTCGTAGCGGCTCAACCCAAGCAGAGCTATATGTAAAGCACAGCACCAAACCACTCCTGGGGAGGCAAGCTGGCATCTAAGGGACCGCGGCGTGCCCGAAATGGCACCTCCGCATCCGACAAGAGGGGGGTTCATCTCAAACTCTCCAGGAAGCTGCAGCCCCGGGAGGTGCGGGGGCACCTGAGCCACAGCCCAAAGGCCATTTGGTAAATTCAAAGCGATGTTAGTCAAAGCCCGTTCCTTCAAAGGGCGCGGGTTGCGAGGAGACTTGTCCTAGTGAAGGACGCGTTGTGCGTTCCCCACAGACAGCGGCACCTCGGTGGGGGAAGAGGGTGGCGGGGGAGGGTTCCCCGGCACTCACGGCGGGAGATGGCGATAGAAGGCGGGGGGGGGGGAAGGAAAGGGGTGATGCCGCAGCGAGCCCCCTCCCCGCCGCCGAGCATGCCCAGAGCCCGGCATGACATCAGCGGCACCGCGGCGCCCCAGGGAGGCAGGGGGGACGAGCACTCACCCCGATGACCACCGTCTCGTCGCCCTTGAACTTGGGGATGAACTTGTCCCCGCGGAGGATCTCGGCCTCGTTGAGGGGCCGGAATCGGCACATCACCTTGATGCTGCACTCGGCGGGGTCCGCCATGGCGGCGGCGGCGAGGCGCTGCGGAGAGCGGCTGCCGCAGCGAGCCCTCGGCGAGGCGGGCACTGCAGGCGGCCGCCCCGCCGCTAGCGGGGCATGAGGGGCCGCGGCTCAGCAGGGGCGGCGACGGCGGCGCAGCTCAGCGCCCCGCGCAGCGACCATCGCGGCCGCGGAGGGAAGGGGAACGGGGGTGGCTCGGAGCCGTCGCCCCGCAGCACCTCAGCGGCGCGGCGCGGCCATGTCCCCTCCCCCGCCGCCGCCCTTTGTGGCTGCGCCGCAGTACGCGGCGCCCGCCCCGCTCCGCCCCGCTCCCCGCCGCTCCGCTTCGCGCGGGATGATGGGCGGCGTAGTCCGCGCGGCAGGTGGCGGCGCGCGACCGCCCCCGCGCCTAACGGCTCCCCGAAACCTCCCCCCACTCCTAACGGGTCCCCTAACGGCTCCCCGAAACCTCCCCCC